TCTACTGCAGTGGTTCTCAACCTTTTCTTCACCACAAACCCCCTTTAAATACCTTTTGTGGCCACAGTCCATGACCGGGGACCCCCAAGTCTTAACTCAAGATTTAAACATAAAATTTCTTCAAGCCTTCAGAGACTCCCTGTGATGACATCACGACCCCACCAGAGGTCTGCAGACCACAAGCTGAGAACCACTGATCGTCCATCTGTCTGTCTGTCTGTCTTTCTGTCTGTCTACCTACCATTCCCCCCCCCTCTCTCTCTCTCTCTCTTTATCTATCTATCTATCTATCTATCTATCTATCTATCTATCTATCTATCTATCTACCTACCTACCTACCTACCTACCTACCTACCTACCTACCATTCATTTATCTGTCTGTCTATCTATCTATCTATCTATCTATCTATCTCCATCCATCCATCCCTCCCTCCCTCCCTCCCTCCATCCATCCATCCATCCATCCATCCATCCATCCATCCAATTTATTGGCCACCCATTTTACCCCAACTGTGCAGCATCCAAACACTCTTCAAGGGCAGCCCTCTTGTTAAGCATATTGCAGTAATCCTAATGATAGGTGACTAAGGCATGAGTCACCATGAGCAGAGTTAGCTTGGTGGAATAATAGTTGACAATTTCAATGCAAGTTCATCAGGATGAAAGAAAAAAAGCAGGATAAAATACTAATATTTTCTAACCGCTGATGCCCTAAACCAGTGTTTTATAAAATTGGCACCTTTAAAATGTGTCAACGTCAATTCCCAGAATTTCCCAGCTGGCATGTGGAGTTGAAGTCCAGACATGTTAAAGTTGCCAAGTTTGAAAAACTCTGTTCTAAACGGTCTATGATTAAGAATTTGATCCATTTTTAGCAGAAACTTCACGACAGTGTACAGGTAATCCTTGAGTTGCAATGGACCCTGCCCATTGCAGTCGTAAGTCATAACAGTCTAAAAAACAGATTGGTCACATGACCAATCCCAATTTTTATGATGGTATTTGCAGCGGTAGGTAACCGAATGTGGTGGTCGTTAAGCGAAACCTTGTTCACTATGGCACAGTTTTGCCAAAAAGCAGAAGTAGATCACTGCAAACAGGCGTAAATGCAACCATTTCGCTGAGTACCTCAGATGTGATCACGTGACCCAGGGTGACTGTCAGAACTTCAGATCTGGGTCACAAGTCCTCTTTTTCAGGTAGGTCATAACTTTGAATGGTTGCTAAGCAACTGGTCATAAGTCGAGGACTACCTGAATACAATTCTGAATGTTTGCAAGAACATAAGTCTCTTATGGGTGATATAAATAATATTCCCATTCCTCATATTTTTTAAATTGCTTGGTCTCCTCTAGTTTTCCATGGCAGCACATTGTCTGAAGCTGTTTTGGGCATCTCTTTCTTGGTAATGAAAAGGGAATTAATTGTGTATGTAGTATAGCAATTTATGTTTCTACAGCTGTACGCTTCCCATTAATTGGGAACAAGAAGAAACATTTGTTTTTCCTAGAGGATTCGTGGTTTATAGTCTAACTTTCTATGAGTGTTTTTTTTTTCTCTCTCTCTCTCTCTTTGTCTCTTTCTTGCATACACATGTTTTTGCCCTTGCGTAGGCATTGAAAAGAAGCGTAACAGGATAACAGAATAACAAAGTTGGAAGGGACCTTGGAGGTCTTCTAGTCCAACCCCCTGCTCAAGCAGGAGACCCTATACCATTTCAGACAAATGGCTGTCCTGTCTCTTCTTAAAAACTTCCAGTGTTGGAGCATCTACAACTTCTGGAGGCAAGTTGTTCCACTGATTAATTGTTCCAATTGTCAGGAAATTTCTCCTTAGTTCTAGGTTGGTTTTCTCCTGGATTAGTTTCCATCCATTGCTTCTTGTCCTCCCTTCAGGTCCTCTTCTTTGGGGTAGCCCCTCAAATACTGTAACACTGCTATCATGTCGCCCCTAGCCCTTCTTTTCGCTAGATTAGCGTTCTTCATATGTTTTAGCCTCCAGCACCCTAATCATCTTCGTTGCTCTTCTCAGCATTCTACACTCTTTCCAGAGTCTCTACATCTTTTTAATATCGTGGCGACCAAAACAGGTTGCAATATTCCAAGGGTGGCCTTACCAAGGCATTGTAAAGTGGTACTAACACTTCACGTCATCTTGATTCTATCCCTCTGTTAATGCAGCCACAAATTGCACTGGCTTTTTGGCAGCTGCAGCACACTGTTGGCTCATATTGAAGTGATTGTCCACTAGGATGCCAAGATCCCTCTCACAGTTACTGTTATTGAGCCAAGTTTCACCTACTCTGTACCTATAGATTTAGTTGTTCTTGCCTTACTTTTTTCTACATTGAATTTCATTTTGTTAGATAGGGACCAGTGTTCAAATCTGTCGAGATCCATCTGGAACTTGAGCCCGTCTTTTGGGGTGAACATTGGTGAGGGGTAACTTTTCTGTGGGAGTCAGCAAAAGTGAAAGGAGCTGATAACTCTCCAGCATTTAGCCAACTTTTCAAGAGTGTTGATTCGGTCTGTTTTTTGGTTGTAAGCCTGCTGATTACATCTCAGCAGAGAAGGAGAAGCCTGGAAGTTTTCAAATGTTGTTTGTGGTTTTTCCATTTTGAAAACTATTTCTATGAAATGTTTGCTGAGGAGGTAACAGGGAAAGGATCTCCTTCTGCCATAAAGATAGTCCTTGATTTACAACCAGTTGCTTAGCAATCATTCAGAGTTGCCGATAAATCTTCCCAGGGCTATTTATAATCGAAGATCCGAAGTTGTGAGGCGTCCATCCTTCCTGTAGCCATGTGATTTCATTTTTAGATGATCAGCAAAGGACTGGTATTTATGGCTGTTTGCAATGTCCAGCAGTCATGTGGCTGTGATTTACAACATTGTTGTGGGAAACTGGCTTGTAGTTCTAGTGTCCTGCAAAAACCACCGTTTGCAGATGCATTCACTTAATGACCACGGTGATGTTTGCTTAATGACCGCTGGGTTTGCTTACGATCAGCATGTTAAAAATCACATGGGTCCTAAAATTGGGTGTGATCACACGATGACCCACTTTATTATTATTATTATTATTATTAATTGAATTTTTACCCCGCCCTTCTCCTTGCGGACTCAGGGCGGCTGACAGCCTGATAAAAACAACTACAGAAATACCCCAAAAACTATCATTAAAACAAAGTTAAAATAAAATATTAAATTTGGCCTTATTAATTATTAAAATTGCTTTTAAAACCCCTCTAAAAATTCCCCCTTAGGCCAGTCCTGCTTGTTGGAAGAGCCATGTCTTAAGGGCGCGGCGGAAGGAGGGGAGATCCGGGATCACCCGGATCTCTGGGGGTAGTTCGTTCCAGAGGGTGGGGGCTCCCACCGAGAAGGCCCTCCCCCTGGGGGTCGCCAGCCGGCACTGTCTGGCTGACGGCACCCTGAGGAGACCCACTCTGTGGGAGCGTACCGGCCGATGGGAGGTAATCTGCGGCAGAAGGCGGT